TATCAGAAGAAACACGATGGAAAGGTAGCAGAAAGCGGGAACAATAATACCATATCGTGTGTGAAGAGCTAGCATAAGAAAAGTCAGAAACACCATGGTGAAAACATGACATGTAGTATCGTATTTGTTCGTGTGTAAACGGTTACCAGATAAATAGCAATGGGCACGGCAACGAATACACGAATTGCTATAACATTTATGCACGTGTGTTAATGGCAACCACGAGAAAAGTTGTAATGATGTATGATATAGGTGCGTGGGTTACCAGTAAGTAAGACCCATGGTGTCTACATCTGTATGACGGAACATATTTAGTGCCATCATCTAAATGCGAACTTTACGAAATTTATTTAAATATGAGGCTATTGTACCTTTTCATCTAGAATTTGACTTTTCTTCCGATCACTTTAAGATTCCTTAATCTCCTACTAAGTTTGAAGCATCACTGTCCTAAAAGGACGAAACAGCTGTATGACTATGTGATGCACTTTAATTCATTATGTAAGGTACCATTCACTTGTACTTTTTGTACAATCATCTCGACTTGTCAGAAGACGGTTTCCATGAGGGATCATCTAGGCTTGACATAAGAAGTTAAGCAAGAGAGAGATCACAGAGACTTGTTACAAGAGGATTACCATGCAAATCCATCTAATCTTGTCGGACGGATGTTACCACTAGAGATCATAATAGGTTGTCAGACGTCAGTTACCAGTAGAGATCATAATAGGTTGTCAGAAGACAGTTACCACTAGAGATCATAATAGGTTGTCAGACGTCAGTTACCAGTAGATATCATAATAGGTTGTCAGACGTAAGTTACAAGTAGAGATCATAATAGGTTGTCAGACGTCAGTTACCAGTAGAGATCATAATAGGTTGTCAGACGTAAGTTACAAGTAGAGATCATAATAGGTTGTCAGACGTCAGTTACCAGTAGAGATCATAATAGGTTGTCAGAAGACGGTTACCACTAGAGATCATAATAGGTTGTCAGAAGACGGTTACCACTAGAGATCATAATAGGTTGTCAGAAGACTGTTACCACAAGTGATCATGAAAGATTGTCAGAAGACGGTTACCACTAGATATCATGAAAGATTGTCAGAAGACAGTTACCACTAGAGATCATAATAGGTTATCAGAAGACGGTTATCACTAGATATCATGAAAGGTTGTCAGAAGACGGTTACCACTAGAGATCATCAAAGGGTGTCAGAAGACGGTTACCACTAGATATCATGAAAGGTTGTCAGAAGACGGTTACTACTAGAGATCATGAAAGGTTGTCAAAAGACGTTTACCACTAGAGTTCATGAAAGCTTGTCAGTCGTCAGTTAGCACAAGAGATCATGTAAGGTTGTCAGAAAACAGTTACCACTAGATATCATGAAAGGTTTTTGGAAGACGGTTACCACAAGAGATCATGAAAGGTTGTCAGAAGACGGTTACCACTTGAGATCATCAAATGTTGTCATAAGACGGTTACCACCAGGAAGCAGTACCTACTTAGATATATGCTTCAGACAATTATGTATAAACCGATATGACGTAATGACATAATACGAAAACCTCCACTTACAATTGTACAGGAGGACGTACCAAACAGTAGTCTATCCCAGAGGCATACAATACTATACCTTCAGACGTTCGTGTTATTATGTGACGTAATGCACATACGCGAATTGATTAGGATTCGATAAGACACCCTAACTCGTGTCTAGTAATAAATCCTTCCGCGTCTCATAGGAGTTTCGGGGCGACACTATATATTTAGTCACCAAGGCGTCAGCAATAATGAACTGCTTGGTCCTACAGCTCTATTCCTCAGACAATATACGTGTGCACAAAGATTGCACTGTGTCATTTTTACGGCCGTATAAATCGCCTGAATGATGCCCATTTGGAATTCCAAGTTGTGGCACGGTGTTAACACGTCAATGAGTTATTTTGATTACAACCACCACAAAACAAATATTGAAGCTTCAAGTACAAAACCGTTGGTCTCGGTGGATTCACCATGATGCTGTTAAGCTATTCTAACAGCGCTGATAAAACGACATTGTTTAGAATACCTATTACAGCTATGTGTCTGAACGGCAATGAAATTCGACGCAAATGATTGTTCAAATATAATTGAATCATAAATCCGAGAAATCATATACATATACTTTGTTGTTTTCTTTAACAGCACTTAAACGCAAGCGTGCTATTTCAGTGTTACGTAAATTCAGTCATCATACTTGAAGAGTTGAAGGTATTTGCTTTTAGTGGCAACCAAATACAATTGTTATAAGAATGGTTCACAGACACATTTTAAAGCGTGTCTGAGATGCAGATCACTGTGTCAAACACACAGTTCAATTTGACGACTTGACGTTTCGTGTTATTGACGAATTATTGTATCATCGTAATCGGAATCACGCGCGTTTGTGTTTGGTCGCGGACTTTACGTGCGATTCCAAGGCTGTAGACGAGAACGTGATTACCGCACAAATATGTATGTAAAGGTCCGCTGTCTGTTACAACGGAATGAAGGTCAGTCTCCTATCACAAATTAATATACTCCACCGGAAAGGTTGTAACAAGCATGTCCATGGTAACAAAGGCTTGAGATTCATTACCAAAGGATGTGCGGGCATGTCGTTTTTCTCTTCCTTCCGTTATTTTTTCAGACGTTTTATGATAAACACTTAAGACACAATCAGACTTTGTTACAGTTATGTGCAGAAAGATTTAAACACTTTTTTAAAAAAATAAAAATTTGCTCTCTCGAACAAAAATATTCGACAGGTGATAAACACTTAAGACACAATCAGACTTTGTTACAGCTATGTACAGATAGATTTAAACATTTTCTTTTTAAATTTAAAATTTGCTCTCTCGAACAAAAATATTCAACAGGTGATAAACACTTAAGACACAATCAGACTTTGTTACAGTTATGTGCAGATAGATTTAAAAATGTAATAAAAATTTTAATTTGCTCTCTCGAACAAAAATATTCGAAAGGTGAACACGTGTTGTAACATAATAAACTCATAGTTTATGGGATGTTAAGAGCAGTGGTCGTTACCGTGTTTTCCTAAACGCTTAGAAATGAACCTGTGCTATCGAGGTTGTGTCTTTGGTAAAAAAAACATTTACTTTAATTTCTCTGGCATGCGTCGAGAAATGGTCTTTTTTTTTTACCATTTGGGAACGTCATATTACTTACGTAGATTGATCGTGGATGAAGTAGAAGACGCTTACACTTGCGAAACACATTCTATTCATATTCTCTTTGTACTTGTTTTGGTCTCCGCATAAATCTTTCTGTTGTGCATACTATAGTTTCTTTGAATTTTACCTCTGGCGTGTCGGTATTTTTCTTTCTTGTGTTCTATTTGAAATAGGAAAATTTCATACCACGTACATTATCATTATTCAAACTGTTTATATTATCTGAATATCAATAAAAAATATTTTTTCGATCAATGTAGTTTATTTAACCGTTCGTGTAATAAAACATATAACATCATACACCATATTGACTATTGTAAAATTGCGTATACCTGTTAACTATATCGAATATCGGTTAGTGGTATCTCTATATATATTGTAGTACCAGTCACATATAAGACACTACCTGTTTAAAAGTAATACCAAACAAATTGTGTTTTGGTTTAATTGTACCATCTGGTACTTCAGAATAAGTAGAGTGCAAAGAGTAAAGATATGTGAAATAAGAAGGAGCTTTTGTGCTTTGACAGCTGAATATCTGAAATCTCTGCAGACAGTTAGCAGGATCTGCTTCTAAAGGTTCAGATTAGCACGAGACAAGCTCCGCCTCGTGAGCATCTGATCAAGTCTTGGTACCCAACTGGTTTCACATTTCAAGATCTTACGTAAGAATGGAATGTACTATTTCCTGTGAATCCCAAATGTTCTGGTCATATCTCTCTCTGTAACTCGCCCTTTCCTGGGTTGCAACAGTGACAGACCTTCCAGGATGAGCGTCATCCCCAAGGCTCTGCCTACCACGCTTACATTCAGCCACCCAACTTTTCACTGTAATATTTGAAGGGGCATTATTCCCTAGTGTGCTACCCTATCAGTATGGATATTCTTAGGTGCTAGACCATTCTAATGCAAATATTGAATCAATGCTCTTTTAGCGATTTTATCTATTTTGCAAAAGTCATCTGCCTTGTTTACTTTAAAGTACTACTTCTTCGACATAAACATCAAATGACACCAGTCTCCGGGTATAAGGATTTAAATAGTTTGGGAATAGTAGAGCTGAAAAAGGACATCCCTGCTTAACTTCTACAACACAAGGCTCAATCAGCCCTGGTAAAGAAGTATGAACACAAGTGCTAAAAAAGTAAAGAAGATTGGGGCTTCGGTTATTAGGATAAATAATATAAAATTTGCTTGGTACTTCGGACCACAAACGCTGATTCTGTCTGGGAAATGAGGATAAAAACACTGAATAAGACTGTGTTTATAGCCTTTGGGGTAAAAGTTCCTTGTAACTCTTGAAATTTTCTAAAGAGATCAGGAAGTTAACGACCATCTGACCCTATTTGATTTCTAAATTGTTCAAACTATGAGAAGCAATCCTTTCTCATTATTTCTTCAGAAATTCTAAAATATCAGGAAAAATCAGGAAAGTATACATAAAATTGAATATAAATATATATGTTATATCGTTGATTTATGACCGCTGATATTTAATCCCAATTTGGCGTAAAATGTTATTTGACATTTTTTTATTCCCATGACAACGTGACGATTACCGTAAAGAAAATTCAAAATCGATGTTTGAAAAATTTCGACCCAAATGTATGATTGATTATACTTATTTACTTGGAAAGACTGCATGTGTATGTATTATGCTAACGAATATGTAATATTCCATTTATACATCCGCATTATTATATGTAGACGGGACTATAGTGTCAAATTAACGAATATTAAAAGAAAATAAGATAGATAGGAACTTCATCATGTACATGATGACGCCTGTCTTCCTGGCGGAATGCTTAATGCTTGCATTTGCTAAAGCGATCATCAGCGTGGCTGGGGGCCATGTACGCTGTAAGGTGGAGCGTGGGTAGAAATGATAACATGATTAGGTATGGGAGGAGAGCAGCGTAATCTACACGTGTAAAATATTCACTAAGTAAACCGGTATGACGATCCGGACCACCATTACCAGCGGGAGGGATCTGGTGCTAATCAACCGGGCAAAACCTTTCTCAGCACTAACGTTATATGGGGGATTTTCCATTCTGCGAAAATATGCTGCAAATAATTTTCTTCATCCTGAAAATGTTCTATATAATGTACAAACGATAACGATACTCTAAGGAAACGGTAATAGTTTTGTCAGGTCCAGTGGTTCATGGGAACATGAAGACAAGTCCTGCGTGTGGTCCTTAAGTCGAATCCTTCCTCGGACATGTTCCATTTGACGTGCATGCCGTTATAACAAAACAACACCAGTCCTTTTTGCTGTCTCACCTAAAAACATGCAACCCTCTAGATTTAAACAACTGACAAGATTTTCCTGCACGATGCCGTCAATTGACAAACTCATAACACAAAGTTTCAAGGGAAACAGGTTGATGAAAATTACGGAGAAATATTTTACGAACGTTAGAGTAATCTCATTGATAAATATTTTATTTGTACGATATGAAGCTGGGCGTGTTTGATGCTTTTTAGTTTGCTTGTTGGTTGGGTTGTTGTACACCTTGTTCTCATTTGAGAGCATGACATTACTTACTTGGATTGACTAAGAATGACCTGGCGGGTGTTCGATGGAGCAGACGAATCTTAATCATCTTCCGTAACACATGGTTTTACTCTCTTTGTCCTTTTACTTGAATCTCGTGTAAATATTTATTTTGTTATCCCTTTTCCGCTTTGAGATAGAATCATAATTATGTTCCTATGTAAGTACTTTCTACTTGTTGTAGTGTGTTGAGATTTTGTAAATTAGGAAACAAACTGATTGTTATGTAGAAGTTACATTTCACGTGTAACATTATATTCATGGAAGGTTTCAATAAATAAAATATAAACGAACTATTTTTCCTTATTCAAACTCTGTTTGGGACACCTGGATCCTTATTTCATTTCATAGTCTATCTAATCAATGTGTGTTTGTTAATGAATCAAGCCTCTTTGTATCTTCGTGTACAGCGGCAACAAACAAAAAATACCAATGTATCTCTTGGTATCTTCGTGTACAGCGGCATTGGTCAAAATACCAATGTGTCTCTTGGTATCTTCGTGTACAGCGGCTTTGGACAAAATACCAATGTGTCTCTTGGTATCTTCGTGTACAGCGGCATTGGTCAAAATACCAATGTGTCTCTTGGTATCTTCGTGTACAACGGCATTGGACAAAATACCAATGTATCTCTTGGTATCTTCGTGTACAGCGGCATTGGTCAAAATACCAATGTCTCTCTTTGTATCTTCGTGTACAGCGGCATTGGACAAAATACAAATGTGTCTCTTGGTATCTTCGTGTACAGCGGCAACGGACAAAATACCAATGTCTCTCTTGGTATCTTGGTGTACAGAGGCAACAAAGGAATAACAATGTCTCTCTTGGTATCTTCGTGTACAGCGGAATTGGACAAAATACCAATGTCTCTCTTGGTATCTTCGTGTACAGCGCAACTGACAAAATACCAATGTCTCTCTTGGTAATTTCGTGTACAGCGGCATTGGACAAAATACCATTGTGTCTCTTGGTATCTTCGTGTACAGCGGCATTGGACAAAATACCAATGTCTCTCTTGGTATCTTCGTGTACAGCGGCAACGGACTAAATACCAATGTCACTCTTGGTATCTTCGTGTACAGCGGCATTCGACAAAATACCAATGTCTCTCTTGGTATCTTCGTGTACAGCGGCAACGAACAAAATACCAATGGCTCTCTTGGTATCTTCGTGTACAGCGGCAACGGACTAAATACCAATGGCTCTCTTGGTATCTTCGTGTACAGCGGCATTGGACAAAATACCATTGTGTCTCTTGGTATCTTCGTGTACAGCGGAATTGGACAAAATACCAATGTCTCTCTTGGTATCCTCGTGTACAGCGGCAACGAACAAAATACCAATGTCTCTCTTGGTATCTTCGTGTACAGCGGCAACGGACTAAATACCAATGTCACTCTTGGTATCTTCGTGTACAGCGGCATTCGACAAAATACCAATGTCTCTCTTGGTATCTTCGTGTACAGCGGCAACGAACAAAATACCAATGGCTCTCTTGGTATCTTCGTGTACAGCGGCAACGGACTAAATACCAATGGCTCTCTTGGTATCTTCGTGTACAGCGGCATTGGACAAAATACCATTGTGTCTCTTGGTATCTTCGTGTACAGCGGAATTGGACAAAATACCAATGTCTCTCTTGGTATCCTCGTGTACAGCGGCAACGAACAAAATACCAATGGCTCTCTTGGTATCTTCGTGTACAGCGGCATTGGACAAAATACCAATGTCTCTCTTGGTATCTTCGTGTACAGCGGCAACGAACAAAATACCAATGGCTCTCTTGGTATCTTCGTGTACAGCGGCATTGGACAAAATACCATTGTGTCTCTTGGTATCTTCGTGTACAGCGGCATTGGACAAAATACCAATGAACCGTAATTCGAACTTAGATTTGATGAAACGAGGGCAAATCTTGAAGAAAAGAAGAAATATTTACACAGAAACTCCAAAAAATGTACACGGAGAATAACACCGGGTGTCCTGGTAGAGTAACTGTCTTTCTTTTTTCATCTCCAACAAACGTGACGTAAATCTATCTAAATCCAAGTAAGTAATGTTTTTTATGTGAAAACAAGGGTAACAAAAACGGTAGTGTTATAGTTTGAAAATAGATTAAGTTCCAGCATATGTATGATTATGGTAGATTGAGTTAGACTTCGGCCTTGGTATTATCGATTGATTCCTGTTATCATCAATTAGTTCCTGTTATCATCAATTAGTCCCCGGAATTATAAAAGTTTGAAATAAATAAAAATAATAATAATACTCCAACACATTCAACTAAATTGTTTATGAACAATGAAATATCAATATTTCACCTAATTTTACTCAATTAATTATTCTGCACACGTATAACAGGCTTATAAGTGAATAGCACATCAATACAGCTTTACAATTAGGTAGAATATAGCCAAGCTATGTTTTCATTGTATTAAACATCGGCTCCGTCTTACGAACCATGAGTGATGCTGAGGACTTTACTAGGTGATTGAGGAAAATCAAAATTGGTTGAAACAGCCAAAAAAATTCAACAAGTTTAATAAATTCTTTAATTCTCAGTACGGAATCATTTCACAGGAACGAAAAGCACACGTGTTGAATTGAAAAAGAAATCAGTCCGAGACAAGTCTGGACAACTATGGTGTTAGGAGTAAAAACTGTAGGGAGAGTCTCTGTTGAAACTACAAGAATATTGATGAACTTTATTTTATTCTAAGCGAATCATATTCTGGCTACTAGTGTCATGTTCGAATTTAAGGTATCAAGTCCGTAGTTGGTAGTTTGTCTGATGCTATCGCGGGGTCGGAGAGTACCCATTGTGTGATGTGTATAGGAACAAAACGCTGAATCTTAAAACAGCCTCTGTCATACATATGTAAACTTCGAACATGTTTAGGCTTAATTAATAGGCCTAATGGATGTTACGACATTTTGTTGCACTTTATAACTGAAGCTGTAATGGTTATCACACAGATCATAATGTGTACTTCCTGTCCTCACAAATAACACACTTAGTAGGGATGTGTACCGTATACAGACGTGTAATGCTTGTCAGAATCAAGCGAGACAGGAAGTGTAAAGTCAAACTTAACAAAGGCTATCGGGGAACAAACCACGAATTAAAACGTAGAGCAACAAAATAGGACATCAGAATAAGCAGCACGTTGATAAGGAAACAATCACTGTTTACAATATACATACAAAAAAGGACATCAGAATAAGCAGCGCGTTGATAAGGAAACAATCACTGTTTACAATATACATACTGCATTATCCATTATATATATATATATATATATCAAGTATATCGATTTACAAATGTATCCATTTAGTCAGACCCTTTAACATGATTAGAAAGGCAAAACATTTTTGTTTTATCTTATCACTATTTTTGCCTATAATATTAATTTCAGCGCAATACAACACATTACAAATATAAATTGTATTATATTTTATGTAAGTTAAAATTTCTCAAGCAAGATGATACAGATATTATCCGTCATGTACTAGTCTGTAAATAACGTTCCGATAACTTTGTACAAACATGTAAGCGTTGATTAGTAAACCATCAGAATATGGTTAGTAACTTAGAGGACATGTACCGAGTATAATTTTCATTAAATTGGCAAATTAACTTTGTGCCATGGACGCTGAGTCGCACGGATTATCAAGGGATCTTTTTGAGGTAATTAAGCGGTGACTAAATGGTTTTTGACCGAGATTCAATAAAATAAATTGTTTTATGATGCTAGTTTAGCGATGTCTAGGCAGACCCGTGTACTGTCAGAGCGACAGAACAGCTTGCCTGCTGAATTAACTTCCCACTGGCGCCCGACTTACTTATCGATTTTCTATAGTACTTATAACAATTTGCACTACCTAGTTTTTCCCATGCGATACATTTGTGACATAACATAAATAAACAAAACAGTTTGTATAAACAAACTACAAAACCGAACAAAGCTTCGTAAATAAAACAGAAAAAAATTGATTTATTGTGACAAAAGGAATGTTTCCTTGTGGGGATTTGGAGGAAGTGAATTTTCTACCGTATTTCATCTAGGTTGTGGTGGACTTCTAGCTATTTTCCAGTCAGCGAGATGTTGATGTCTTACGAAATGAATGTAATATTGATCTAAATAATCCCGATAAAACCTTATGTTTAATCAGAATTACAAGAGTCTACCACGGTGTCGGTGTTACTCCCGGTTGAGAGTATTAGATGATCGTCATATTAATAATATTCGTTATGGTTTTAGTTGTTATTTTGGCTTTACAGAAATTAAGACAATTTCTATTTACAAAAATCTTATTGTAATGAGTTTGTCTTCGTTCGTCACAGTTAAGTATGTAACCTTATTTCTAGGAGTGCGAAGAATTTCATGAAATAATATTACTATCAAAACAATCAGAATCTTAAACGAATGCAAACTTCATCAAAATAAAAGGAAAAATCTTCATGTTCAGATGTAAAACTATAACGAACTAATGCACAGGGTTTTTTTTTTAATTTAGAAACGACGGAAAAAACATCTTAAGTTTTTCAATAAAAAATTAGGTTGAAATATAACTTGGGACACCATTATGTACATATATAGTGTAAACTCTAGAAATGTCTTCAAAGAGAGTAGAAATAAATATGGCTTACCCAAATATGTAGGTAGTTTAAACAAACCGTAACTGAGATTCCAAGAGAGCCATCACTTTATTCAGGCTGTAGTTGACGATACGAGATCGCGTATCTCATCTCACCTCTTTAGCAATAATGATCGTGATGAGTTTTTAAATCTTGCAATCAGTTTTTACATGTCAACATTGTCATTAGGGGGTGTAGTGCTGACAACAATTTGCGGTAAAAATACTTTTGTGGGGAAGCTATCGAAATGAAAAGAAATAGAAGAATGGTTTAAAAGGTTTTTCTGTTGATGACTTTGTGTTTAAATGATGCCTATAGCGAATAAGACGAATGTACATTAGCGCGTCAGCACGTGCGTTACCGCATCACTCAGTTGTTGGAAGAAACATCCAATAATTTCACACCTTAACGCGAACCATGTGTCTAGTATGTAATTAAAAGCGTTGAGCCCAAACCATTGTCATTCCCACCTAAACCTTGCATATTTTACGTAAATAACCTTAATGAGAGTTTACCTGTCACCAAGCACGTGATCGGTGCAGGTGTTAGGAAGAAAATGAAAAAATCCCCATTTTTCATTATAACGTGTGAGTTACCAGAACAAGCCAAAATGTCAATATTAATAACGGGTAAGTTTACCTCGAGCCTCCCACATCTTTGATTGATTAAAGAAACCAGAATCTGAGAGACATCATGGTAGATAATGCTACACCTCCGTTCAAACATTGACATTTGATTATCTAAGACATTATAAAGGACTTATGCCATCTTAACGTGTAAACTAATCACTTACACAAGTCTGTGACGTAACAGACTGTACGCTATATGAGGGGAAAAAAATCAAGAATCAAGTGAAAGAAAGAAAAATGACTGCATAATTGCTTTACATTTACGTAAGGACGAAAGAGTCATTGTGATGACATAACCAAATTCCGCCGTCGTACCCAGTATGTGGATATAAGGAACTAAACATAGGTGATATTCTGCTTTGTTTTCACTACTTAATGATTAGGAGAGTGTACTCTTGCCATCATTGATCAGGATTCTTTCCTTTTATTATTTTCCGTTTCTGGATAGCAACAGCCCTGCATACCCATCATATGGTGTTTACATGTCGCTTGTTGATTCAATACTCAAGGGCTTTCCCCCAATATCCCGATTATCGTGCAAGCTGTGAGCAATTGACAGCCACATAACACAAGGCGTCATGGGATGCAGGTTAATGAAAATTATGGGGAAGTTTTGCGGTCGTCAAAGTGATCCCGTTGACCAAAATGCCTTTGTGCTATATGAAACTGATTTGATGCCCGTGAGTTTGCCTGTTGGTTCCGTTGTTGTATATCTTGTTTCTAATTGAGAACGTGACATTACTTATTTGAATTGACCAAGATTTACATGGCGGTTGCAATCGATGAAGCATCCTCGCAATTTGAGGGGTTATGACCAATAATGATCTTAGCACACGGTAATCGCCATATTTGTTTTGATAGAAAATCGTCGATAACGCGTTCTTTGGTTGATGAGTTTTGTTTGTCTGTGAATCTTTGTTTTATTCATATCATGCCCTAGTTTTATTGAATTCATGTTTGGATTATGATCATGCTCACATGACGGTGTTTCTCTTTTTTTGGCCAATCAAACATGACGTTACAAAAATGACAATAATTCCAGGTAATGGGATGATAATATAAAAATGTCTGACCATTAAAAATGCTTGATACTTAGAAGATGAAATTATAAACAATTAAGAAAAACATACGCTTTCGTCAAAGATGAACATTCCTTTATCGAAAATGCCAGCAAACTGATAAAATTTCATGGCATTTTTTTCAATGTATTAGAAACAACATAAACATTGTGGTATCTTCGATATAAAAACACCGCAATCTTGGGCACAAATAGGTCCCTTACAGCGAGCATGACTTCTGTTTACATACATAGAAAACACGAAATACAGCCATTTTTGTATTAGTTTCTATATCTAATATTTTGATATCGTCTAATGTTAATTGCAATTTGTTTACATTACGTCATTCTTAAATCACTGTATTTTTAAAATTCAAGGTGATCATCTAATTAATTAGTCTTTTGGTTCATCGATTTCACCTATCTAACACCGAACCGTTCGACCTCTAACGTCTTGTTGTTTCATGTTAATCCTGACCACTCACTCGTAGTCCTATCACGGACATGTCACTGACTGTTAGCTACATGTTGGTGTATTTTGAAACACGATCTCCGA